TAGGATGTAACTGTAGAGTTGGGGAATGGAAGTCACGTTATAATTTTTATTTTTTTATTTTTAATTTTAGGTTTTGGAGACTAGATGTCCCTATGTACTCATCAAAATCAGCATTGTTCTGTCTCAAACTAAGATTATAGTTGTACCACTGCTAACATCTTGCTCTAGTTTGCTATGCATTTTACCTTTTGTTTGTGGTATCCAAATTCTGTATCCAAAATTTTGTATCCTGATTTTATTTCACTTAGCTTCATATTATAACCATCTTCTTATGCTATCAAAATTCAACATGAAGATCAATTTTATGATGGGATTCCCTCTCCTGTTTCATTGATAAGCACAATTAATATGTCAAAAGAAAGAGATTGCAGATGTATACTACACAGCTGGTTTGTTACAAATTTGCCTTCCAATTATGGCTCATCTCTGTTTTTAATCTCATCCATGATCGAGTCTATTGCTTAATACCTGGAACATGGAAGACTTGACTACTTGATGCTAAAATGAATTAAAACATTGTGTGAAAAATCACATTGAATATTTCACATTAAATTTAACTGAAACTAATTCTTTGCCCATGTTGTTTGTAGGCAACTTGGTTATTCATGTTTTTGACTCGGTATGTTGTTTTGTTAAAAAGAGTTTGCCTGTTTACCAAGTGATACAGACACCAGGCCAAACATTTAAGGAAAAATAGGGTAAGGAAGTTAGGGTGGAGTGGATAAAGAGGAGTAAATGGGCTAGAAAGCTAGGGCTATTTGTGGACTTTGGGTTTGTAGCATGAGGCAGCCAGATACCATACTGTTGATTAGCAATTGGACACAAGATGAGTTTAAAATGATTCTTTTCCAGCTCAGTTCTGGTGGGTTTGAATCACCCTTAGGACCTTAGATACATTCAAGCTCATGCTGAGCACCTGTGCCACCTGGAATTTGCAAGGCAGGGCCTGTGATAGGAATAAATCAATGTTTGAATGAGGGTTACAGGGCAGGAAAAGGCAGGGGAAGAAAAGAAAACCCCAATGCCTGGCATTGCAGCAGCCATGGTCTTTATCTCCTTCTTTTCAGGACAGACGTTAAAGCTTATATTTTAGGTACAGTGAACCCTGAGTCCTGGAGACATTGATAGACATAGCTGTGTGCAGAAGGAAACAGCTTTTGCCTTTGAATCTTCTTTCCAAGGCCAGGGTGCTCTGCTTGCCTGAACTTGGTTTGCTTCTGATAACTTTCCAGTCTTTATTTTGTCTAGCTATGATAACTCCTTTTTTGTTCTAACCTTACTCTTTATCTCAATAGAGCATTTGTAGGAGAAAAAAAAGTTATAACAAATAATCAACTGATGGAATTTGAAAATAAAACAAAAGTTAAAATTCATTTCAAAAGGGGGACTCAGGAATGCATGTGTAAGACAACAGCAAAGTGTTTCTTTTTCTTGGAGGGGGTTTGTATTGGGCTTTGAACTCAGGGCCTTTACATTTGCTTGGCAGATGTGCTACCATTTGAGCCACACCTCTGCCCTTTTACACTTTAAGCAATCTTTCAGATTGTATCTCTCGCTTTTTGCCCAGTAGGCCTGAGATTGCAGTCCTCCAATCTATATTTCCCCAATCGGTGGAATTACCAGCTTGCACCACAGTGCTAGGCTTGTTTGTTGAATGGGTTCCAACTAAATTGTGCATTAAGCTCAGGCATGAGCCACCAGGCTGGGACTGGAATTATATTCTGCCTGGAAACAATGCTTCTTTGCACTCTGTCCTATGAAAATAATATACTTCAAAAGGAAACAGTTCTCAAGAATGCAGAAAGCAAATCACAGAGGCCCAGTTAAAAATTTTAGCTTTGCTTTGATCATGAGAAGGCAGCTACTACAGGCACTTACTGATAATTTAAAAAAAAACAAACTCATTGCTCAAAAAACAAAAGAATTTCTGTACTTCAGAGTTTTTTTTTAATGTGTTCAGACTGGCTGAGTTAGAGGCATCTTGATGATGAATTTTGTGTATAGCAAAGGCAAGCTACAGCTACCCATAACCACAGCCTTTAGGGTTTTGACATCTCTTTTCATCATCAATTCACTGACTTGAGTGCCTCATATCCTTATTAACACAGGCTCCTTTGTGGAATAGACGATTATGACAGTACAACACTCTAATTCGTGTGATACTTTTGCCCAGTACTGGCTATCATTATCAATAGTTTGTTTACAAATATATTCACACACTTTTCCTTGATATTGGAGGGAAAATAAGTATTTCACCTTAAATGTGACGGTTAGCATGCAACCTAATTCATCTTAATGAATTTTAATTCTGGACATTACTCTCGGAAAATTCAGCCAGATTTTGATTTTTCTCTATTTCAGTGTAAAAAAAAGTTATGGCTCAGAATAAGAACAATATCGCAATATCACATATTCAGGCAGAAATATTTTCTGTCGGAAATCTTTGAGGAAGTCTGGAGATGTTCTTGTTTTCTTTGCTAATCTTTGGCAATAACAGGCATTTAAGTTATTTGACATAAACAGGATTTTCAATGCCCAGGTTGTAGTCACTACATACATGGCTTTGGTATATGTGTACAGCAACACAGGACATGGAATGTTCATGGCAGCTCAGGTGTCTTATACCTGATGGACAGACTAAGAAAATGTGGTATATACACACAATGGATTAGTGTTCATCCATAGATAGGAAAGCCATTGCGTGCTTTGCGAGGAAATGGGTGGAACTAGAGATCATCAAGTTAAGTGAAGTTAGGCACATTCAAAAGGAGAAAGGTCACATGTTCTCTCTCATATTCAGAATTTAGTATTAAAAGATACATATATATGGATGTGCATATATAGAGAATGGAACAGCCTGAGCATAACTATGGCACTGTTTTGAGAGATGGTAGAAGAGAGAGAGGGAAAGAAAATGATAGAGGTGGATAATATCAAAATACATTGGATCTGTGCATCAAATGGCACAAGGAAGCTCAGAAAGTTGAGTAATAGTGAGGTAGCGGGGATTGAGAAAGAGACTGCGTACAATATATGTATATGTGAAATATCACAGTGAAATTTCTTTGTGCAACTTAAATACACTGAAAAATAACTGGCCAGAATATACAATAGGTTCTTTTGGAAGGCAGTTACCATTGAGAGTGGGTGTAGGGAGGGAATCAAGAGAGCGAAGAAGGTAGAATATGGTGAATGTAGTTTATTGTCATATATAAAAACAAGAACAATGAAACCTGTTGGACTTGTTTTCAGAAGGAAGAAGAGAGAATGAGGGAGAGTGATCTAGTGAATTTGATCAGGATACATTGCATTTGTGCATGGAAAGGGACCCTCCTTTCCATGGGACCCCCCCTTTCCAAGGGACCCCCCGTTGGACAACTAACATATGCTAATAAGAGTGTTTCTGAGAGAAAATAAATAAAAAAGAAAAGATTCCAGTAGCTCCTAGAGAAAACAGAGACATGGAAAGCTTTTTGTATATTTTTGTTTCAGTATTTAAACAGGACCAAACACCACAGTTTTAGTACTCTTAGCCTCTTTCTCATGAAACCTTACTGTATTTTAAAGAAAGCATTTGAAGCCAGTGTACTTGCCATTACGTTGATTATCCAGAACCAGCCATTGCTCTCTCGACTTTTTCTACCTCTGCCCATTTGGGTCTTAAACTCTGAACTGTCTAGGTTGTTCTCTGTGCTCAGAGCTGAAAATGCCCTTCTAATAGAACAGTGTGAAGTCATGCAACACTGCATTTCTCATGTAATGCACAATGAGACCAGAAATCCTGTTGCCACCATCTTTATCAAATCTATGGTGTGTCTTGATACTGTCATCTATTTCTACACACCCAGAATCCACCTCTTCCTTGCTGATGTAGAAGTCATGTGTCTCTTATCCGGATAATTTGGATACTTCCTAACTACTTTCTCTATTTCCCTTGGACCCCTGCAGTCTTCATAACTCAACAGTCAATGTGTAATTTTTCAAATGGAAAAGCATTCCTTTCCTCTACTTAAAACTCCAAATATCCATGAAGTTTTCTTTTTTGATGGTTGGTTTTGGGGGGCTTTGTTTGTTTGTTTATTTACTATATACAATAGGCTGGCCTTGAACTTATCCTGTAGTTCTAACTGGCCTCAAATTCAAAATCCCCAGTCTCCCAAGTGTTGAGATTACAGGCATGTGCCACTATGCCTGATTCAGTCTTCCTGTGTGTTTTGGAATAAACTCCAATGGCATTGTCATGGCTTACCAAAAAACAAAACAAAACAACAACAAAAAACCCTCTTCTTATGATCTGTCCCCATTATCTTGTACCTACTTATATGCAAACATTTTAGAAGTGCCTATCATATTCAGATCTCTGATTCCTTCATTTAAATTTAGCATGTTTAGGATGACCTATAAACCTCATAAACCTCTCAAGAGATGCTTCACCAAGTATAGTGTACTCCAATATGCATTAACAATTGCCAGGCTAAGCTGTATATTAAATCAATCATAAGTGACTAATACTATTCAGTAATCAACACGGTGATGGTTAAATTTATATTTAGCAGTGTACTTATTTCTAAGATATTTTTAGCTCCTTGGGAAATAGATATTAAAAAGTAATCTAGGAAAACAATAAAAAATTTTAATCCAGGGATTGCTTTCCTCTACTTAAAATTCCAAATATCCATGAAGCTTTCTTTTTTGATGGTTGGTTTTGGGGGTTAAATGTGTAACTTGTAGCACTCAGCATCAGATTCTCTGAAAGTAATATACATTTCATAGCAAATAGCCATCTCTGCTACCAGGAGCTCTTTCCTACCCTTGAACTCCTGTAGTAGACTGTTTTTCTGAGTTGTTGTAAGTCTTCCTTTCATAATATTTCCTGCACTGGATCTAGTCCCTCATCTCTGATAGCTGGTTTGGCTCACTAAGAAAGATGAGAACCATCCCTGCCACCATCCTTGACTGATGTTCAAATCTAACAATCTAATCTGCTTTTTCTTTTCTAGATTCCTGTCTTGGTCACACAGATAAGTTCGACCAATCATCCAGTAAAAGTGGGGCTGTCAGATGCATTTGTCGTTGTTCACAGGATCCAACAAATACCCAGTACGTAGAAGCGTGACTGCAAAGTATGAGCTTTCTGTACAGGTGCATAGACAATGCCTAAGGGCACCAGTCTTGGGCTGATGTCACTGAGGAAAGAATCATGTATCTGATGGATGCTCATGACATCTACTAGTTGGTTTACAACTACTACTGTGTTGGCTGTCTCCATTATTCTTTTTTTAAAATTTTATGTTATTGCAAAGGTGCTGTCCAGAGGGGTGACAGTTGCATCCATTACTCTTGAACTGATAAATGTAGGTAACTGAGATTAAATAGCCCATCTATGGAATACTTGGCTTGGTTGAACCAAGATAGTTCTTTCATTAATAAGAAGAATATAAAATAGTGATCAATGGCCTGATTGTGTATTCCTTTCCATATTTGTCTTTTTTCAGAACCAAGAATCATTTTATTTTCAACTTAATTTGATCTCAAAGGGTAATATTAGTGAGAGCAACATAATGATTCTTAAGATAATTCCCATTAATTCACTGTGTGAACTGCAGGGAAATAATGCACTAAAACAAAACAAAGTTTTTAAAAATTGAATTATTATTCCGAAACTTGTCATAGCTAAAGCACTTTCTCTTAGGAAAAAAGTAGAAAAGAAGAGTGAAAAATAACAAGTGATTTCTTAGTGTTTCTCTGGGATACATTACCAGTAATTAGAAATAAATATAAGCCAATCACTTCTAAAATTCACATTACTTTTAAAGCATACATTAAAAAAAAGCTTTAATAAATAGCAACTCCTTTGTACAACTACTTAAAGATGATAATAATAATAATGATAAAAGAATTCAACTACTTCTGAAATGTATATTTCAAAATACAAGTCTTTATGCTTTTATGATCTGGCTTGACCCTCTAAGTTACACACATTCAATGTTTATTTCCATATTTGTTTGTTCATTTAAAATTGAGGAGAAAAAGGAAACTATGGTCCATTTTATGTTTTACATGTGTGTGCAAAACTTGGAGTTGAAAGGGAGATGAAAGAAAAAATGTAAATATAGGCAAATGAAAATACCATTGAAGCTCGGTCTACCAGGGAAGCTATGATTCTCTCTCTATTTTATTTAAATTATTGTTGTTGATTTAGTTTATTCATATTTTGTAAATTCCAAAGTATGGGTTACTTTGGAAAGCTGTTCATCATAGTAGAATGTCAAACAGCTTCTGGGAGTATAGCTTAGTGATAGAATGTGTGCTAAGTATATAGATGATCCTTGATTCAAACTCAGTACCAGAGGGAGGGTGGAAAGGGAAGAAAAGAAGGAAAGAAAGAAGGAAGGAGGAAGGAAAAGAAGGAAGGAAGGAAGGAGAGAGGGAGGGAGGGAGGGAGGGAGGGAGGAAGTACTGGAGGAAGGAAATGAGGGAGAGGGAGAGAAAATGGAAGGGAGAGAAGGAGGGAGGAAGGAGGGAAGCAAAAAGGAAAAAAATTAAAAATGTAAACTGCATTTGTTTTGAGCAGTTTGGACCATGTAAATAACTATCTTTTAAAGCTCCTGCTTTTTAAACCTCCTTTCCTTGAAAAACAGTCTTGACATAAGTAATGGGAGAATTTGTTTCCCATTTGTGCTTATTTTCAAGCAAGAAGTAAAAACAGAATACATGTCAAGATTAGGTCATTTCTTTCCTCTTCTCTCAAAGTTTTTTTTTTCTTCTTTTATTTCATTCTAATGGTGGACTTAATTTATCTCATGTGTCTGATGTTTGGTCTTGATTTGAGCTGATTCTATTTAATTATGTCATCTCTCAAAAGCAGCAAGTAAATGGAGTGGAAACTAGACTTTTCAGAGCAGTAAGTGGCTGGCAACATTATAAGGGTGATCATCCTTTAGAATGGCATTTGTATATAGCAATTCAACTTGAGAAAGAGTGTGTTCCCTTTATTGCATTTCTCCTTGTTAGCTGAGAAATTGTGGGAGGTAATATTCAAGGAAATTGTTAAATCAAAGCAGATTTTCTAGAAACTAAATTACAAGAGAACAAAACAAGGATATATTAGTATGTGTCGACAACAGAAAGGCCACTTGACAGAACTCTTAAATAAAAGGCTGAGTTCCAGAGAGTCAGGGTTGGTTCCTGTTTGAGGGGGACTTTCTCACATTCTTCTTTTCAGAGGTGTTAAATAGAGCATGACTTCAGTCAGTTATTGCACAAGGTAAAGGAAATGCTAGTTTTCGTGTATTTGTTGCAGCCTTTTATTCCTGGAAGAATTTTATTTGCCACTCACTAAGGAGATCACATTGCTAATCTGCTATATTATTATTTCCAGAAATAGGCCCACCAGAATACAAAAGCACTATTTCTTTTACAAATATATTTTAATGTGTATTAATTTAGTTTGTTCCTCATGACGAAATTATTTTGACTTGTCAGGTTTGCAAAGAGAAAATATCCTTCCAGATAAAATTTTCATTGAATAAATTTACAAAATCCATATGCATTTGGAGACCAGTTATGTCTAATATTTGGGATCTAATATTCAACTAAATAATTGTATGCCAAATAATAGTTTCAGAGGAAGGCTTTTCTTCAGCCTGTATGGAACAGTAACCCTACTTCCTGTTGACTTTCTTTGTTCAATCCAGAAAAAAAAAAGATTAGTCAAGAAGAATTGGAAGTTCTAAGTCTCAAGTTCTCCCATCTCTGCTGTGTTAAATGAGACCACATTGGAGCAAGAAAATTAGAATTAATGTATTCTATTTAAAAGTCACTGGGGAACAGAAAATGTTAATCTCCTTCAAAATCGGTTCCCATATAACCAAGTGCAACAGGATCATATTAGTAAGGAAGAGAAACGTTTCATTGAATGTCCAGCTAGGTGGACCAGAGATTAGAATTACCCACATTCAGAGTTGTGTAGGTATGTATTTCTTGCTGAGAAAAATATAATTCCTAGATATTTGTGTGCTTTTTATTCATTTAACGAGAGCTTAGGTAAACATTGAAGTCATTTTCAAAATTTCCATTTTAACACCTGTCACTATTAGGAGTAGTCGTTTAGGGAATTTACACCCTTACATTTTGGTATTCCATCTACCCTCTCCTTTGTAGATTTAGGTTACAACAGATATTTCTCCTAAGTAATGAGTGATTTCATTTCAAAGTACAGTATATCAGCCCTTGGACTCATATGATCAGCTTTCTATTCTTTCAGTCATCTCCTTACACAGGTTATAAAATCTAAACTTTTGGCATAACCTAACCAATGGTAGTATAAGAATCTGAGTCACAGCGTGGAGGATATTTTTCCCCAATGAAACTTTCTCTCTACACTACTCTTATCAGATTGGGTGAAGGTTTGATACCACTTTCAAAATCCTTATTTAGCATTAAGATTTCTCCTTACTTATTCTTTGTACCAGTGACAGAAAATATTTCCAAAAAATAAAAGATTTCAGTGTTAACTTTAAAGCATAATTAAAGGCAGTTCTTTTCATGTTAAAAAAAATCAAAGGACTTGATTGTTTAAATATCAAAGGGAATTCAAACATTGTGAGGGAACTGATAAATAGTCCTAAGGTTAGAGCTGAAAATTACTTTGCTATTTCTAGAAACATGAAAAGAAAACCTATGGTGAAACTAATCTTTGTGTTAAGAAAATAAAAGACAAAAAAATAGTTAAAAGCACATAAAATATAAAGACTAATGTAGAACGAATATTGATCATGAGACCTTGAACCTATTATTTAGCTTATGTGACTTTTTACACATAAAAAAATGACCATTTTAGAACTTGAAATGCCATGTGTACCAAGCTGGAAATCCCTGGCACAAAGGTAGACATGCACTTGCACCTACAGATGTCATTTCTGTGGTGATCGCCATCAATATCACTATCATCAGTTTAAAGACAGTAGTGCTGATTCGAAACTTGGCAAAGTAGCACGGCATAAAATTAATCCACAAAAATCAATAGCTTTCCTATATGCCAACAATGAGAAGAGTGAGGCTGAAATCAGAAAAGCAACTACATTTATAATAGCCTCAAAAAATAAAATAAGGACAGTGGTGCTAACTGGGGAATCACAGTCCAACCTAGGTATCCAACAGAATGGGTGCTAAGACCATTTGTTTTTACTGTGAAACCCTTTGGCACAGGACTCAGAGCTACTGTGCTTTTGGAGAATGATGTTGAGTACTTCTTAATGTCTCAGTACTAAGATTTTCAGGAATGTTTTCTGCCTTTGTTTTCTTACTAATTCACTTTCTCTTTGTTTGTGAAATGCACTTATAAAACTATAGAAGAGAGAACCACCAAGACCAGCTTTTGTTTTGTGTTGTTTTGTTTTGTGGCATGGGCAGGGAGGGGAGGGATGGTGTTGTACCAGTCCTTGAACTCCAAGGCCTTGGGTTTGCTTAGCTTGCTTATTTATTGCTGGTGCTCTACCGCCTGAGCTTTGCCACCAGCTCAGAGACAGCTTTCTGTTGCCACAGGTCCAGAACTGAAATGAAAAGATCTTCAGTGACTTTGGTTTGTCAAACATCCCAGACATATAAGTATAGAAATATGTCATTGCAATTAGAAACAGAGTATCTTTTAACTCGGCATAATTTATAAAATGTCAGAAAAACTTAAAAATATATAAAGTTGAAGAAAACATAAAGTACCTGCAAATCTACTTCAAGCGTTAGCTCTCGAAGCCCTCATGTATCTCTACCCAATCCCTCATGTAGAACGTGTGTATACACAAAGACACACCAAGAAAGTAGACATTTTGCTTTACATATCATTGTGACCTGTTTTCCCTTAAAGTGTATAAAACCTTTTCCTATATTTTCAGGTATGGATCTAAAATGCAATCATAATGGAACAGCAGATTCGTGTATTTCATAGCTCATGGACACTTTCTCTTCAATGGTTGGGAGATTGCTCATATTAATTATCTGTGCTGTATATCCGTGTTTTCCTGTTTTTACTCATATCTGAGTCTCAAAACATGAATTTGTATATGATAAATACTAATGGTGTTTTACATATTTTGACAAAT